TTGTATGCTCTTTATAGATATATTTTTATATAAATCTTAGCTTGATTTAATTTATCAAAAAGTCTAGATACCAAAAATAGAGAGTACCTATTCTTGATGGTGATCTTATTGAGTCTTCAATAATTGATACACATCAATAATGATCTATCTTTTTTCTTCACAAACAAGATAGAAGCTTCTACTAGAAATTTTGAATGGCATATGAAATTCTTGGTTGTGTTCTCTTCAATATATTCCTTGAGTTTAGCCAACTCATTTTATAATCAACTATAAATTGGTCCAAATAGTAATTAGGCTCTCTCTTGAAGATAAATCAAATAATCATAAGAATGATGTTTTGAAAAAATATTTATATTTTTTTTCAAAGAGATCTTAATAATCTTAATATTGGCTTAAAATCATATTTAAATTCTTTCTAATATTAAAAATATATGTGGCATATATAACACAAGGTGATTATTTTTTTTTAGGATGGAAGAAAGCTCTTGCATAAATAAATACATGTTTAGTTATACTAGACTTATGACTTTTTACTTAATTAACAAAATTCTTAGTAATACTCTCAAAAAAATCAAGACTATAAGAAATCTAATTTATTCAAGAATTATATTTTTCCATCTACAATAAATTTAAAATAATTAGAATAGAAGAAGATCTAATGATATTAAATATTATAAAGCTACTATAACTATAAATTACTATTTCTATAAGGACTTTATGAATAACATTTTAAAAAGATGATAGATGACTATCTATGATTTCTATATGAACATATTTAGTTTTCTTTACTAAGGGTATGTTATGTCTTTTAAAAAAAATTTCATCTAAGAAACAAGCTAAGGCTCCTAAATCTAGGTCCTAAATTAATATTATAAAGTTGAAAAATATTCTTGCAACTCTTAGATCAAAATTCAAAAAATTGATTGTCACACTTTGCAAAAAAGTTAATTACTTGATTCAATGTTTGAGGATCAAGTAAATTGAGAATCAATTTTTTTACCTTATACTATAATTTGTAGAAAAATTGGCTAATGAATGCACTATCATCTTACTTCATATCAATCGTAAGTTGATAAATTTGTGAAGCATATAATATTACAAATTAATTTTCTTATTATAAAATATAAATCTTATTTATTGCAAGACAAATTACATCATATTTTCCATATATAGATCATAATTTTACTAAAAATACTTCAAAGTTTTTTATTATTAGATCTTATTATTAAAAAAAATAAAAATCATGATATTATAAAATATAAAAGTAATGTTCGAATAAACTTGACTTGTGATCTTAGAGTTGGATAGCTTTGGAATTGAAGTTCAATAATTAGTTATACTTGATTGATAAATCCTCAAAACTTTAATCTTATGCTATCAAACTTCTCAAGCAATGTATTTCTTGATTTTTTAATACTAAAATGATATTTCACCATTAAAAAAGGAGCATGATTTAGTGCACATATTGAAGCACCTCCAATCATTTCTATGTCTTCAATTCTTGACAATCTTGTTGCTATTTGTCATGGTAAATTGATTTAATATATTATAAGTATTAATATTCTTAATTACTCTTACATTTATACTATTGTACTCTTCATTTCAATAGACACTATTATAATAATACTAGAAAAAAATGTCTAATATCACTCAAGATAAATAAAAGAAAAGACTTGAAAAACAAAGAAATTGCTTAGAACAATATCAATTTAGAAGAGAGTAATGTGCAACTTCTAATACGTTTATGACTTATTAAGAAAAAAAATGTAATCCACTATTAATCAAAAAAAGATGAAGTTATAATATTATAAGTGTACTCTTGTTAATTTATCAATGATAAGAACTCAAGGAAGATATATAAATAAGTGAGATAAGTATCAAAGAGAGATCACAAAATGATTATAAGAAAGTATATATATTTAAGAAGAAACTAGAAAGGCTATTGCTTAAGACTAAAAATCTAGAGACTCTTGAAATTAGACTAGAAGCAAAAAAAGAATTGACAAGAATAAAAAAAACTTCATTCTTGCTCCCATATATATTATATAACTAAGAGCTACATGGTGACATTTTATTGGACCTTCGACATGTATCTAATTTGCAAGATACATGTCTTAACTTATAAGACAAGTTTCCTAAACATGTGCCACATGGTTAACTTATACTACAAGCTATGAACATGTGGCTAAGTTATTGGCTAAGTGTTCAATCTACCAATCACCTTTAGATAAGTATAAAGGTGAAATTGCATTTATGAAGCATCTAAAAGACTTTCCTATAAGATATTATCAAACTTATCTATTTTTACTTATTTATATCTATTCATATTATTAAAATTATATATATATATATATATATATATATATATCATGCCACAAAGATTTTGGAATAGTCCATTTCGAAACTTTTTGACTCTTTCTTTGTCAATGTTTGTATACCATTATCATGTATATCATTGTCTCGCAACATACATTGCTTCATTTCCATGCATATAGATTCTTTGATCTCTTTAAATTCAAAAAAAAATAGATGCGTGCTGCCTACAAATTTGGTTAGAAGGGACTTGAATTTGTTGTACTTGTCATTACAATGCAAAATTGCAATATATAAGTCCTATGTGATTAGTTGCTAGACAAAGTTAGCAGCTATTTCTAATATTCTAGAAGTCTATAATCATATTGATCTATGTAATAGATCTTAATGTTTTAGAACATGATTGCAACAAATGACATGCTTCTATTAAGCCTTATAATAGCACTAATGTATGTGGCAAGTACAAGACGTATTTTGACCAAACTAGATTGGAAGCTGGCCATGACTAGAGATGTGTAAGATATGGTGAATGCAATGAAGATACACAAAATTATCTAGCTAACACTGGTCTTTGACCTCACTCATGTATCTAAGAACATGCAAGGAAAAAGCGTAATAGTGTAAAAAAAAGGCGTTAGGTGTAGCAACAAAAGCAAATAATATTGTAGCACTTGTGGTAGGGAGAGTGAATATGATAGTGAATAATGTGCAAATGAAGCTACAAAGTCCTACCATAGTTAATGTGCAAATAGAGATGATAGGTAAGGAAAAAGATTGTAGTGGATAGCAAGAATCATTGACAAAAGAAAAAGAGCCAAAAAATGCCAAAAAAGGCTGCTCTAAAATCTGTGTGGCTTGTGGTTTGGGTCCTATATGCACCTAAAAAAAAGTAGTAATACTTTAATACATTTGAGAGTAGATTTGCTATTATAACAAAAGTAATGGATATATTAACTATTATCAAGAATACATAGATATTCTTGATATTTTAGCATATTTGAAAGATATATATGATATTTTTTTCTTAAATGTTTAGAAGTTGTTTAAATTACATTGCTAGAAGAGCTAATTCAATTCTATTGAATAGATGTTTAAATCCTTTTTCTTAAAGAAATATAAATTTATTGACTTTCTATTTTTTATTGATATTATGTTGATAAATATTTTTATAAAAATATGTAAGGATAAAATAATTTATATGAATTTAAAATATTAATTTAGAATTCAATATGAAATTGCTCAAATTAATTTAGATTCACATGAATTTAAGCAATAGTAGAAAAAATATATAAAAAAAATTAATATATTTTATGTATATATATATATATATATATATTTATGTATGTATGTATGTATGTATATATATATATATATATATTTATGTATATATATATATATATATACATACATATAGTGTTTTAATAGAATATTATTATTTTTATATATATTCAAATGTAATTCTATTTTTCATTATTTTATCATTTTAATATTTTATTTAATACTATATTTTTATACTATTATTTATATTATGTTATAATAAATAATCATATTATAAATCCAATTTTCAAGAGTAATAAGATAATATATAGCATGATATATAGTAGTATTTATTTTAAGTTAATATTTGATATAATAAAAATATAATAAACTTAAAGAAAGAAAATTTTTAAAGCATACAATTAATTATCACTTTCTTATATTTCAACCTCAATTATTCTTTAATTTTATTTTTTATAAATTAAAAAATAATATAAGAATAAATTTTTATATTTCAACTTTAAAATTGTATTTTTGTTATTCTTTATGTAATTAAAGAATTCATAATTATATATATATATATATATATATATAGGAAAATGATGAAGCAATCCAAATTTCTAATAAAGCAATCCACTCTATCTCAAGCATCATTGTACCTTTGGAGCCCCCATCCTTGTTCCCAACCATTTTTCATTCCCAACCATTGCTAGGAATAAAGGTGGAGGCTTGAGAACAGGGGCAATGGTTGAAAATAGAGGAACGGTTAGGAATGGGGGAACATTAGGGAATGAAAGAATGGCTGAGAACATGGCATATGGATCAATTTAGTAAAAATTTGGATTGCTTTGTCATTTTCCTATAGATATATATCTGGATATCTTTAATTATATATATATATATATATATTTATAATTTTTGATAATATATTTCACAATATTCGATTAAGAAAATAGTGATCAACTCAAATTACAATCTTTTTGTGGAGCTTCAATCCATTCTAATTTTCTTGATATATGGTCAAAGACTTTTTGTTTATAAATTCCTTTGGTTGTTTCCAAATCAATCTCAAATTTGATATTGCTATTTCTATTAAATACTAAAGCATTGAAGAATCGTGGTAGTTGACCTATTTTCAGTATCAAATCCAAGGTTACTTTCCATGTAGATTGCAAAAAAGTACCATTCTGCTCTCAATACTCTATGATTTTCCATCACCCCTGCAATCAACTTATGACGGTGGTTCAACATGTTAAATTAACTCAGTTCTTCAAGATCAGTGAACTCGAAAATAAAAAAGGGGTTTAACCAGATGGTTAAATACTTCCATCAATGAAATAATGACTTGCGACCATTTTAAGGCTCTCCTTTTGTGAAAACAAGTGCGGGAATGGGCTTTTGTTGAACCAACTTTGTGGAAATGCCAGCACTTTGATGTTAATACTTGTACAATATATTGATATCGTCCAGGTTTTGGCAGGTACCATCACAATGGGTGAAAGCTATGCACGCTAAGCCAACAGCAGTGACACACAAACGTCCACCTCTGGCTCATGGCTTCAACCCAGTTCCGACAACCAGCAGCTCAAATAATGGGACGGAAAAAGTATGTAACCTTACCTGGCCATCAGAAAGTACAAAGAAAACTCAAACCTGAGAAAATGCCAGGGCACTGAAACATCTATGCCATATGGTACATATCCAAGAATGGTTGCACGCCAGCTCCAACTCTGGTTCCATCAGCCCAAGAGAATAGATCCTTATCAGCTACAGAAACTTGAGAAAATCTGGATTACTTGAAGAAGAGCAATGTGAAAAAACTATTTAAAAAAAAAAAAAAAAAAAAAAAAAAAAAACTTAAATAAAATAGAGCCTAGTTTGAAAATTCCGGTTTCCAAACTTCCTAACTACCGGATGTGGAATATGTATACAGGATACACTGCACAGGGGCTTTGACACTCCATCAAAGGTGAGTTGATTGCTGATGGAGTCATCATTGGTTCATGCATTAGCAACAGATACTTGCTGCATGACCTCAGGTAAAGTTGTCAAGAGGTCGAAGATACATTGTTGTGTCCTGTTTCTTCTTCGTCATTCTCAAGTCCTACCCAGTCCGTAAAAGCGAATAAAAACTCCTTGAATGTGATCATGCCGTCTTTATCCCAATCCATTTCCTCTGCACATGTTGGGGTTCGCATTCGTTTAGTCAGTGTCACATTTACAGGAAAGGCAATGGCAATTGAAAACGGTTGCAGAAATAATTTGATGCATGACAGTGAGGTGGGAAAGAGTAACATACCAAATCTTTGAACGCCAATTCTGTGTCCGTGCCGACCAGATGGTGATGCCTCATTGATAGCCCATATCATCTCCTTCTTGCTGACATAGCCATCTTTATTGCGGTCGAAAAACACAAAAGCCTCTGCAATTTCATCGAAAGTGGCTTCGAGGTCTGGAAGCCCAATTGCCGATTTCTTCACCATGAACATCTCTGGTCAAGAAAATCCTCTAAATTGCATGGCTTTAACAGATCTAACCATGTATGTACGTTTTGATTCAGACATAAACAAGTACACGCGGCTATGTTGGAGAAAACGTGCGCCAATTAGATAAATAGCTTACTATTGAAAAGGATACCACTCCTGTGTGTGTGGGTCTGCCAAGAAGGTAGATGAGTGCTAGCACGACAATAAACTCCTTGAATTGGATCCCATGAGTGGAATCCATGTCACTCTCATGGTGAAATTCCTCGATTTCTTGATCAGAATATTCCACTTGTAGCTCCTGTAGACACTGCTTCAACTCGTCCATGTCTAAGGAACCATCTCCATTCTTATCTGAAAACAAGACAATGAAACATGTGTCTCAATCGAGCCCTTGTGATTTTATTTTCTTTTTTCTTTTTTTCTTTTCTTTTTTCTTTTTTTTTCCTACTGATACAAAAAATAAGTGCATATACCAGGCTACCATCCATGAAGTTTCGGAAGAACGTTCATAGGAACACGAAGCCATACAGCAACATGCTGCCACATTTAATTTCTCAGATATAGGGGAAGCAGCTTTCAGCAATTCACATTTCTGTCAAATTGGGCAGGATAGTGTAATAAGAATATCAAGCACAGCCAAACTCTGGGTTTCTGTCACAACTTTCGAATCCTACATGCTTCCCATAAAATGAACATGCCCCACTTTTGAACTTACTATCTACATTTTGACGGTTAAAATCAGGTGGATTTGTATAACATTATGGTCAATGCGGCGTAATCAACATTGATTTGGCATGTAGAAGAGCGTGCCACCCAAGTGTGAATCTCTTGACAAGTGATCACCGCAGCTGCAGAAAATGTGATAGTCTTATGTATGTAATGTGGCAGGTTTTCAAACCTGCTTTGTTGAAGACTTCTCTTACAGCTTCAAATGATGCGTCAATCTTAGGAAACTTGAGGATGAACGTATTAAAAGTTTTGAGTACCACATTGGCTATCTGTGCTCGCTCGGCCATGGCCTGAATCATCCTCCTCTCAATCTTGGTTAATTGTCCCTTCTGTTCTTGACTTTGTATGAGCCCCATGACTGACTCGATGCCAACTTGTCGCCAAATCTTAACACCTTAAAAGCACAACAACATAAAGCTTGTCAGTGATTTCACACAGCGATCCCACTGCAACGCCAACACATTGCACAGCCATGTACATGAGCATCATCTTCTTGCAACCTCGGTTGGGTTCTAACTAGACACTGTCTAGTTTAGCTCCTAGAAGATTGACAGTATTGAATTAGACCTTCGCTACAGTAGCCGTCCCAATTCTCAGTAGGTATGCTTGCATACTGTACACACGCATTGTCACTTTGGGTTAAGTCACAAAATTCATCCCAAGTGAGCATGATGCACTTGATGGATTGCGTTCCATACAATTCACGTAATGATGTTTTCTCTAGGTCACCATTCCGGCCTCAAGAAAATTCCAGCAGGACTTCAATTTTGCAAATTAACAGTCATCATGGACTTCGGGCTGCCCCTCACACAATTAGATACACTGCCTGGCAAGGTTTGATCCAAGATTATGATTCCCAATTTTGCCACCGCAGTAGAGAATTCAGAGGCACTGTAAAGGTATCCTGGGAAAACAATCGTGTACCAAAATTTTGCAAACCCGTTGCCATGTGGGTGAAGTCGCTCGGAAGACGAAATGCGTACAGCCATAGAGCCGCTACGATTACTAATCGCCGCGGGTCGCACGCAGCAAGCCGTAACTTTACCATTTGTGGAATAAATAAATAAATAAATCTAAAACCCCGTCTAATGAATAATTGCAAGCATAATCCTAATTCCAGCTCCAGAAGCCGCGAGATACATGGATACCACGAACTCCCCCACTCCCCCGCTCCTCCACAACCAACAACGAACCCCCTTACAACCATATGCCCATGTACACCCCGAGAAAACAACTGCAAAGACAAGCCTTCATGCGAGAGACCACCACAACTACGATTCTAAAACGGAGTGAACAGGCACCTACCCATCGAAACCCCGACAACAGCTCACCAATGCGCAGGGTCCAGTAAGGTTCAAGAGCTCCCCAGAGGTGGTGGTGAGTTTGAATGGGCAATAATAAAATGCGACAGACAGAAAGACAACACCACCACGTCGCAGCAGCAGCAGCAGTGACGACCAGGCCCACAAACTCACAGTTACCATCCCCAATCAATGAATCAATCAGTCAATCAGGTGCGCTCTCACTCTCCTCGAAAACCAACCCCACCAATCTGGGCCCCACTGACTCACTCTCTGTGGCACTTGCCTCTTCTTCTCCTCCTTCCCCTTCTTCTCCTTCTTCCCCTTCTTCTCCTTCTTCCCCTTCTTCCCCTTCTCCACATCCTCCTCTCTCTCTATTGTATTGTTGTGTAGCAATCACAGATGTGTTGATGCCATTGTTTGTTAGGTTGTTTCCCATTTGGGTTCTTCTGAGAAATGCCAAGTATTGACCACTTTCTTATCAACATAACAACAACAACAACAATGTGAACCACAACAACAAAAACAACTGGGGTGGACAATCCTGGATTTGGTTGATGTATTTTAGTAATGTGCATTATGTGACTGATTTCTTTGCTCCATGTTCTTCTTCCTTTGTGTTGCTGTGTTTGTGCTGCACTTTCACCATTTTTGCCATTTGCCGTTATTCTGTATCTGTAGCACAGACATGTGATCCTCCCAAAATGTAATGAATCCCAACTTGTTTTGGAGCAACATTTTGCTTCTTAGACTTGCAAACAGACGTATTTTGTAGACGTATTTTGTTGAGGCATGTTGTTGATTATTGCTGCATGAATGCTCCTGCAAATTTGTGGGTCCTTTTGCAATAATATAATGCAGCCACTAATGAGTACGGACAACAAATGCCACATTATTTTAATTTTTGGTGCAAACAAGATTTTGGAATTGTGTATAATCTACACAATTGTCTACAAGGGCAAGAATAAACTAGAAAGGTGAAGCATCTAATCATAGAAAGATATTTTCAAAACCATTTCAAAGTTTTTAAAATTTATTGTATTTATTTCAAGACTCTTGAAACTAGACTAAAAGCTAAAAAGAGTTGAGAAGAGTGAAGAAGGCTTTACTCTTGCCTCTATATATACTCTCTACTTAAGAGCTATGTGGTGACATTCTCTAGGACCTCCAAAACATGTTGATTTTGCACAATACATATCTTAACTTGTGAGACAAGTTTTCAATATAGATACTATATAGTTAAGTTATTCCACAAACTAGCAACATGTGTACCATGTGGTTAATTTGTTGACCAAGTTTCTAACCTATTAATCAACTATAAATATGTGTAAAGACAACGTAGCATCTATGAAGCTTTTAAGAAGCTTCTCTAGAAGATATTATGAAATTAACCTACTTTTACCTACTTCTATCTATTCATATTATCTAATTAATAATGATAATAAATATATGTCCATGTCATTATTCTTTCTTCTAGAAACAAGTTCCACAAGGAGTGGTGATCACATGTTGAAGAAGTCTAAGATGCGGTAAATTATATTTGCCACATACTTTGATCTTTGTATTTTTTTAAAGTAATTGATAACTCTTCTCAGTCATTGATAATATCCCATTTTAGGGTGGAAAGACCACCCTATTATTTGATCATTATTAAAATCTTCGTAACTCCCTTCAAACAAAATATTTGTAATACCATCAAGAGTCATTCCTACTTCTAATAAAATAACTATCTATTCAAGGAAGAATATGTTGTTCTTAAAGGTCTTTGTCCTTTTTTCTTTTTTTTTTTTTTTGTCTTGAAGACTATAATAATTGCAATGTCTCATTTTATAAGTCAACAAATGATGGCTCTTCAATTGAATCTATTGGCTACTAGTTTTTTATCTTTTTAAAGCCAAAATTACATAAAAAAATATAAACAAAAATAGAAGGTAGAATATAATCTTTCCTAAATTGTGTTTTTTTTATAGCAAAGATTTTTTATCCTTCATTTTAGTTTTAATAGATGTCACTAATGAAAAGCTTTAACCTTTTCTACTACATTTGTAAGATTTTTTTATTAATTTTCATGTGCTTTTATTAATATTGTATCCATGTTAATGAATAAGATATTCTAATCTACATCATTGCCTCTTTGAATCTAAGACTTCTTCTATCTCAAATTCTTTATTATTACTAACTTCTATAGGAGGCAATGATATTTGTCTTTTTTTTGAAATATTCACTATCTTATATGGCTCCAAAAGAGACACCTAAAATATAAAATGGATTTTTACAGACTTTGGTAGATGTAATTGATAAGTAATTGGATTGACTTCTTCATAAATAGGAAATGGTCCAAGTCTATGATAATCCAACTTTTCATAAAAGCAAATAGTTTTAAATACAACAAAGTAACCATATCTTATCATCAATGTAAAAATGAGATTATTCCTTGTAATAGATATCCATATTATTTTTTTATTATTCTTAAGCCTCTTTTAGATGCACCTTTATTGTTATATGTAGCTTAGATAAATGATTTGCCAAATCTCTTTCCACATGATTATCAACTTTTGAAAAATCAAAAGCATCAAATTATAGATAATAATCATAATTAGCAAAAAAAGATATTTTTTGTATAGAAGAATGTATCATGTTATCATAAGAAAATTTTACCAATGAGAAATGAATTATCCAATCATCTTATTGGTAACTGATGGTACATCTCAAATATTGCTGCAAAACTTCATTTGCATGCTTTGTTTCTCTATGAGTTTGAGGATAGAAAGCCAAAGATGATTTTATCTCCACCTTTAGAATTTTGAAAAGGGTTCTCTAAAATCTTAATACAAACTAAGTTTTCTTACTTAATATAATATTTCTAGGCAATCCATGATAGCAATTGATATTATCATAAAAAAAAACTTGGTTGTTTCTTTACCTGTGATAGATTTTGTATATGGTATAAAATGTACTATCTTAGTGAAATGATTTACTATTAAAAATATTAAGGTTATAAGAACCTAAGATAGGAAGATTTGTGATAAAATCTATAGAAACAAAAGATTATGGTTGTTTTGGAATAGATAATGGCTGAAAATTTTTGTAAAGTTGATGACGAAGAGTTTTTGATCTTGAGCAAACATCATAAGGTTGTACAAAATTTTTGACCGCTTTTTATATTTGAGGCCACCAAAAATCCTTAGATATTAGTTATAAAGTCTTATTATATCCAAAATATCTTATTGTTGGAAAGTCATGATAAACTTGAAGAACACATAATTAAGCTTTATTTTTTGGAATATATAAGCATCTTTTAAAATTTAATAGATAATTCTTAAATTCAAACTTAGAAAAGTATCATGAGACTTTGAAGGATTTTCTTTAATATTATGAATAAGATGATGAAAAGACATAATTGATTGAATTTGCTTAATAAAAGTTAAATTAATAGTTAGTGTTGATTTCATTGCTTAAAAATAAAGATGCTTTGGCTTCAAGAAAATTATCTATTATTGATTAAAAGTTGTATTTCTTTCCTTTGATATGAGATAAGATTGTCTCAAGAATTTATCTAACAAATCTTATTTTTTTTTTAATCGATAAGTGATTTTGAATTTAAATCTTGACAAAGATATGCTTTAATAAGCTTAACAACAATTCAAAATGTATGTTGACATAAAATATTCAAGATTCTTATAATTTGTATATATAGTAATAAAATTAAAAGTACCTTCTAAATAATGGTACCATTCTTGAAACAAATCCACAATTACAAAAAGTTTTTTATTGTGGATCTTATAATAGATCTTGACTATTGAAAAAAAATTAAAATAAAAAGCTATTGGATGAAATTTATCATTTATTTCTATTTATGATAATATAACATCTAATACAAAGTCTAATACACCTAATTTCATAAAAATAGCTTTAAAAAGTTGACACAATATAAGATTGGTGTAGAAATAAAGGTTGTCTTTAAAGCTTCAAATGCTACTTCCGCTTCTTAATTCCATTGAAGTTTGTCTTTATAAGTCAAACATGTAAGTAGAGCTACAATTTGAAAGAAGTCCTTGATGAAGATCAGATAATAGTAGGCAAATTATAAAAAGAATTAGACATCTCTTAATGTTTTTGAGATCTTCTAATCCATAATAGTTTGAATTTTTTAAGGATTTATTATAAGTCCATTATTTGAAATAACTTATTCTAAAACTTGACTTATGTAGTATAACATATACACTTTTTTTTATCTTAGAATTGAGTCCTACATCTTTTAGTTTTTGTAATATACAACAAATATGAAGTTTATGTTTTTCTAAATTCTTAGAATAGAATAAGATGTCATCTAGCTAATAGACAATAAAATCATCCAAAAACTCTCAAAAGACAACATTTATTAAGTGTTGAAATTTTTTTGGTACATTTGTAAGTCTATAAGGCATGACATTATATTTAAAATGTTTGTACTTGATTTAAAAAATAATATTTTATTCATTTCTTTTTTTAATGCATACCAATTGTATGCCCTTATAAATCTATTTTTGTATAAATCTTAGTTTGGTTCAATTGATCAAGAAGTTTAGATATCAAAGGTAATAGATACTTGTTTTTGATTGTGAAATTATTGAATCTTTAATAATTGACACGCATCTAAATTATTTTTTATTTTTTAGTTTTTTTTACAAATAGAATTGAAGCTCTTATTGGAGATTTGAAATGGCATATGAAGTTCTTGACTACAGTTTCTTCAATATATTCTTGAAATTCAGTAAACTCATTTTATAATAAACTATAAATTGGTCCAAATAGTACTTGAGTTCTTTTTTGAAGATCAATTAAACAATAATAGGAAAAATGATCCGGAAGAATATATATATTTTTTTTCAAATACATCTTGAAAATCTCGATTTTGGCTAAGAATGCCATTTTAAGTCTTTTCACCATTAGAAATAGGTG